AATATCTTCTAAATTTAACCAGGTGTTTCAATGCCTTTAAATTACACAATAATTTTACTGGTGAAACTTAGTTTGGTTAAAAAAACACTAAAAATAAAAAAAATTTTCCTGTGCAGAGAACTTCCTCTGCCATAATTATTTAAAATAAATATACTGTATTAGTTGAAAACACTAAAAATGACAGAAGAGATGTTTAAAAGCCTCTTTCCTCAGAAAGTCTTCAGTCGTAAGAACACTAAACTGTAACTTTTATTAAGGTCATGTACACTGTGTACTCCTGTTTAAATGAAAATATTTGACCTGTAAGCAGAAAGCTTATGGATGTGGATTTTTGGTCCCTATTTAAAGAAGAGGATGAGGAGGAGAATGAGGACATTTTAATCAAGCAGCTCTTAAAACAGTCAATCTGGCTGACTGAGAACATTTGTATATAGTAAACTTTGTATACAGAACAATATAGCCTACTTATTAAATTATATTTTCATTGAGATTTCTGCGGACAACCAGATTTTGACAACCTGTTGTCCTGTTAAACCCCACGCATGAGAGGCCGCCACCATGATTAAAAAAAATCCTAGGGGAAACCCTGCTTTAACAACTGTCTAGTATATTTGTTTGTTTGTTTTTTGTTTGTTGTACACTTCAACCAGCGAAAGTTGTCACACGTCTCTGCTGATATTTTGTCAGTCAAAACCTGAAAAGATTCCATTAGGGGTCTCTGCAGTATAGATGGAGAGCTTTGTTGTATGGGTGGAGTTTTGTCCTAATTGTGATTGGTGGAGATTTGTTGTGGGTGGAGTTGTCCAAAACTGTGATTGGTTGAACTGACAGGTCTTGTGGGGCAAGTTAAATGATAAAGGTAAAACTATTGGAAACAAGAATATACTTTATTGTCTATTTATAGTTTGAAACAGAACAAAGTCTCAAATATAAATTACAGTGAACATGTAAACATGATTTATTGACTTCAACTTTGGTGTGACTAGCTATTAATACTCATATTCCAAAACAGTGATCTTTCTCCAGGCAGGTTAGGGCTCTTCTGACTGAGCTGTATTGTTACACATCCCTCCACTTGATCGGCGTTCAAATCTCATAAGGATGGCACCTTCCTCTCTCAAGTTATGACTGAAATTAATATTTATATTTAAAATTAAAAATGTTTTCTGGCTGTTTCAGCCGAGCTACATCACCCCCCACCCCAGCTGCCAAGTGTTCATCTAACTGTATCGTTATTGCTTTTTTCAAACCCCACCCAAAATAGTCAATCCGACCAATTATGTCTACAACAAACAAACTTAACACACAAAAGTCAAACAGACCAATCACATCCAGGACAAACCACTACCAGACAACAAACAACTCCCACTTAGCGACTGCAGAGACCCCCTTCTCAAACGTTTGGGAACCACTGTCATGGATTATAATGGTTATGATGGTTATATTGTCCCTTTAGAAAATGTCAGTGTTTTCTACCTCATTGTAGGGAGTCTGGCACACACACACACACACACACACACACACACACACACACACACACACACACACACACACACACACACACACACACNCACACACACACACACACACACACACACACACACACACACACACACACGTTTAATAAAGAAGTCTGTTTTTGTCAGCAGTCAAAGCTCGCTTTAAATAACTCCCCAAACCAACACCATATTATATGACCTTTTCTGAGTTTTGTTCCAACTAATATGTTAAAATTAGTGGATGAAGAACAATATAAAAATCTAAAGAAAAACACCTTTGGCTTGTGTATGACTTATGAATGTCATCACTTCTTATATGAATGCTGACGTCACAATGATTATTGGTTTAAGATAATATTACTGAATGTTGATCAAACTGACAACTGTTTAAGAATATAAACAAAACTCTTTTTAAGCAATTTCACCAGCTTTGGCAGGTGAATAGTCTGTTTGTTCTTAGTAATGTCACCTGTGAACACTTCAGGGAAAGCTTTTAGAACCTTTTTGAGAAATGACCTCCCTACATTTGGTTCCTAATTTTTGTTATCATTAGTAACAAACAGCCCAGTGCCTAAAGAGGAAAATAGAGTTACTCTGAACAGTAAAAACTTCTAAAAATATTAAAGAGTTGTCTTGTGTGTTGGAAAAATGAAACCACTAAGTCTCTTCCACGTCACTCATTTCCTCTTGTAGAAAACAGAGCTCGCTGTGGTTTTGCATGGACAGGGGAAAAAAAGTCCAGCAGAAACCTTTTAAACACATGGACACAAAAAAAAGTAGAGCCCATGTTTAAATGCACTGAATTATATTTAATTGTAGAAAAACATAGCCATTTCCAGCCCTGTGGCTAAGGTTGAAAGCTGAGCCTGCACAGAGTAGAGCCCGTTTGCTCCGGCCCCTGAGCAACGGCGGTCACCACCTAAAGCAGGATAGGGAGCAAAACGGGCAAGATAGAAAAAAATCTCTGAGAGGGTAGATAATGAATGAAGGAGTGGAGGAAAAAATAAAGCAGCTGAACGTGGGCGGGTTGGATAATGAGTGAGAGAGGGGAGAAAAGCCTTCTTCCATTCTCTCTCTCTCTCTCTCTCTCTTGTCTTGTGCTGCAGGGTTATTTTTAGCTACAATAGGGAGCAACACGGTGCTGTAAAGGCAATAATTTCTGCTGCGGCACCGTCATCGTTCACTGTAACATCTCTGTCACAGCAAAGGAAACACACACACACTTTTACGCATGCATGAACACATCAGCTCAACAAGCACAGGATTTGAAAATACTTAATCATTGTAAATAATAGCCTGTACATCAGCCTGGTGCTCATCTCTTAAYGCGTCAGCATCACAGATATTGACATTATTCAGTTAACACAGTTGTCAAGTCCCTAAAATTTAGCTGACATCAGTTTTCTTCCCCTAAACTGTAAAACACAACTCAAAGGTAACTACTCTCCGTTTTCATTTCATCGTGCTGCATTTTCACTTGGCAGCTACTTCACAAGGCTGAGGTATCTCACTTTAAAGTGTCTCATTTTTCACACGAGTGAACTGAAAACAAATGTCCCTTCTCAGACGCCAAAGTGTGCAAGTGTGTCACGTCAAATCAGTTTGGATAAAATGAGCACACACACACACACACACACACACACACACACACACACAC